CCGTCCCAAACGGAGAAACAAGGGTGTGGGCTAAATGTTGTTTGTATTTTAAAGGAAGATGAGGACGAAGAAGCGGAAGTACCGTCCGAGACAGAAGCAGGAGAGGAAGATGAAGTCGATGTGTGTGCAGTGGAGAGAATTCCAGCTTTGTGTAGCAGGTACAATCTTTTTATTTATTATTTTTATGGAGAGTCTTAATTCTGAGTCACACAAGGAAGATTGTTCTCCTTTATTCGTTTGACCCTCACGAGTGGCTAGCATCTAATTTCTCCTCATTAGATCACCTCAGAGTCACAGATTAAGGTCTGGAGAATAAAGGAAATGATCACCAACTAAAGAAGCTCTTGATTGTTAAACAAATTCTCCTTGTCAGCACCCTAGGAAATGTATAGAGAACAGTATGGAGAATATACAGACTGATGTTTGGGCGTGACTGATTGAACGATTTGACTAAAATGTTGCTGCTAAATTATTTCAGTGACGAGGAGAACGATGAAGATTTGGACTCCGTGTACTACCTTCCCGTAGCACCTGAAGTTGACGACCCGGAAGAGACCGGATGGACTCAAGAAGTATGTTAAAATACGCTCTTCTTTAGCTGTGCATTTTGGTTGAGTGTTGGGAAACTATACCGAGAGTTATCACAATCAGCCAATTAGAACAAAGGAAAACATCGGCGGAAGCTAATGGGAACTCAAAGGGAAAACAAGTGCTGACTAAAAGCGCGGGAAAACCGCGAGTGACCAAGTTGCAATTGATTCAAATTTTGAGTCGGATTGGTTGCGGGCATGGTGAGGTTTTCTAGACCAATTCTAGAGCGAATTGAGGGAAAACTGTCGCTATCTCGTAGGACTTTCGACACGGAATAAACTTCTGTGTGAAGCTTTTCGCAAAACATGATAGGTTTTATTACTTAAAGCCCATGCGTTTAATTAAAACTCGCCCTTCTTTTCTCAAAAAAAGAATTGAGACGAATTTAATTTCTGGTTGTATATAGAAATCTTTTTGCCCTGATGGTATTTTGCTTTCAGACCGAAATCCGCCCCCACGATTCTGAAAACAAGAGGCGTGCTTCTCAGGAAACTGGAGCCGAATCATCGAAAAAGAAGGTGAAAGTGATTGACATTCGACACAGTTCAAGTGAAGTTCACCAAGAGACTAAAAGCTTCGGTAAGTTGGAGGGGAATTATCTCAACATCACCCCGTCCACCCCACCCCAGCGCCCTTGGGAACGACACTGCCTACCTCTACCCTACCACCCTCAAGTTGCTCTTGTCTAAATGCTGGGTATCATGTGTGAGGGGCGGCAGTATTCAGACTAGCGTGTGACACGCTTTGTGTACATTATATGCAGGATAAATAACGTCGAAAGAAAGACCTCTGTTTTTTCCTTAATTGTGATCTTACAAATAAAGCGCAGTCCTCAAAATTTACAATTTTAAAAAACTTGTGTCGGAAAATTTATGACAACATACAATGTTGACCTAACACCTCAGCACCCTCATGTAGAGTTGAAGGTTATTGAAATATAGGCTTCCGTCCGTGTTGAGAAAGTCTTCTTTCAACATTGCTCGAGGGCGGAGGTAGAGGCAAAATTTTGCAACCCTTGCGACCAAGTTTGTAGGTCTGCTCTCTAGCCTGGACTGGGGTCGCTGGAACAAGTTATTCTCACAGTTTCCCACTTCAGCCCGAAGTTTAAATGGGGGCTAGTAAAATATTATTGAGACTTCTCGAATTACATGAGACCACCTGTCCTGAATCAATGTCCCACATAAAGGGAGTGCCCACTTACTCAATGTGGGCCGCTATCCCTTGAGACTCTTAACCGCAATGTACTGACTTTGTCACTATCACACTCGTGTTTTGTATCCACTCTTTCTACAGGTCAGCAAAAGGAACTCTCCATCCTGAAAGATGCTCCCTCTGCTGATACCCCGCCCATAGTACCGGAAACTGTCGCCATAGAACCAAGTGAGATCCAGCCGGACTTGTCCACGGATTTAGATACAGACTCTGCATTTGAGTAACTCCGCTTTCAACAAAGCGCAGAAAACTCTAAACCGTATTTGAACAATCAGAAGAACATTTGCAGAAAGGGACATCAACTGTTTAACAGGCAAAATTGATTGGAAAGAAATTGGAAACGCTTCTCGTGTTCTTGCGACAGTTGAAGTGTCTTCCCTAATGCGACAGAACATTTTCTCCTTATTTTTTCATTATTTTAAGAACAAAGAGCCTTCTTCTTTAAGAAGCCTATTTCAGATATTTTCGATATCTTCGCCTGTTTTCCGAAAGAGACTGGTCGAAACGTCGTGTGCGTAAATGGAATGTGTTATTTCATAGAACTGACAGATCTGGCTCTGAAGTTCTCAGTTTGCATACTTTCAGTGGACTTTTCGCGAAATGCGCGAGATCTTGAGCGCCGTAGGTTTGCGCACACGAGACAACGGAAAGTACACGCGTGTGTTCACGAGGAATGAGTTCTTTCCGTTCGGCAAGACGTGGTAGAAGGAAAGCACCCGTTCACTTAAATGGTTTAGTGGTTAAGACAAATAAGAGTTGAAAACAGAGCACCGACCCGACGTGAAGATACGGTGCACCATGTAAGAACAGCAACATTTGTCGAAGTCCTGGGGCCGGATGAAAGTGAAACAAAAACTAGATAGAGCTTGCAATAATAAGCTAACAGAACGTAAACATGCTTTTCGTGGTAAAAATTGGCGAGGAAGATTTTGAATTTGGCCAGAAAGTTTAGCTTTCTCTAATCTTAAATTGAACTAAACTCGTTGGGCCATTTATGGTATTTAGAGGTTGTGCCCCATGGCAAGTTTGCCTTCAACCGCCTTTACGAGTTTACCTCCTGAAATGAAAATAGTTCGCCCCAACCTTTACCACCTCGCCATACCATTATCAGTACACCCCAACCTTAATCAGGTCGCCCCCAAATCTTAAAAGTCGTTTTCTAACAGCAGGACATATTCCTTTTCTGTCGGAGTCACGGATTCACTCAAGGAAAAAAAAACTAACAGATGGCGCTTTTCTCGCACGTCTTAAGACAGAGAAACTAAGGACAAATTGATATAAGCTACCCTATCTTGGTTGTTATCATAAAAAATAAACTTCATGAGTTCTGTCTCTTATTTCATCAGGTCATTCAGTTTACAACTAATAATTACGAAAATGTAAAAAGACAAGACAACTTTATTTAGCCAGGGTGGCCCAGTCAGCTGCGAGGCTGGTATCCTTAGGGGCCCTGGTTTCTATAAAATTTACATATACACATTTCCAATAAAATTACAAAGTTGAATAAAATTTGCTAAGATTAAAAGAGGAGATAAAATCAGATAAAATGTCCTTTAAGAAGGCGTTTAAAAATTTCTAGAGAACTTGCCTCTTTGATTTTGCTTGGCAGTGAATTAAAGGCTAAACGTCCTGAATTTTTAAAAGTTCGCCCTCCAAGAACAAGATTTGTTTTATTTGGGTGAATATTTCTCCTCTGCCTAGTGTTATAATTGTGTACGTCACTGTTAACTTTAAAATAGTTTTTTAAGTATGTAGGAACGAGATTCCGTAAACATTTATATACTAAAATACATTTGTGTATTTTTCGCAGTGTTTCTAAATCTGGCCAATTTACAATATTTCGGGCTGTCCTTGTACTTTTCTGACAGGTGACGATTTTCGCGGCTCGATTTTGTAATCGTTGCAGACTAGTGATGCTGCTCTCGGGTAGTTCACCCCAGGCTGTGTCTGCGTAGCTAAAAATTGGTTCAATAATGCATTTGTATACCGCTTGAGCTGCTTGTAGAGTGAGACTGGAGCGTATTCGTCTGAGGAGACCGAGTCGCTTGGATACTTTCTTGTGAACATCTTCAGCATNGTCACAATGGTCAAAATTATTTGACCACTGACCACGATAAGAGTACAAACCACGATAAACCACTGTCGATTTGTTTTTCAACACAATATCAAAGTCAAATAAAACGATTCTTTTAGTGCGTGATACGTTGCGTGAGACGTTGACGCGAGCAGCGTTATCTGTAAATCTACCGACATTGGCAAATTGGCCAATCAGGTTGCGACCTTACAGCTAAGTGGGATAATAAATTTATTCTAAGCCATCTCAGAAAAGTAATCTACTCTTTGTTGGTCCCTAACAAACATTAGCATGTTATCAATGTCATCAATTGACGTCAATCACAGTTATGTTAAAACGGAGAAGCCTTCAAGGGTGAAAAATAAAATAAAACCATCAGCTTGAATTTTAAAGTGCCATTGGCCTGCCTTGACAGTCAGAAGACGAAGACACCATACATCTTGTCGATTCTCTCAGTTTCTCGGACATGAACGCAAATAATCGTGCACAGCTTCACAAGTACGAACCACCTAACTGGGCTTCATCCCTGAACAGCATTCCAAAATATTTCGTCAAGGTAAGACAACATGAATAGGAATCAAATTGTTCAAATTGAAATATGAAAGTTTACGTTAATAAGGGCTGACATATGATCACTTCGTTTTGTTGGTTTGACGGTTTCAGTTCTATCTTTACCATCCCTTTCCTACCACTGGGGCTTTCCCTGAGCCCTCGATGCCAGCTCATAAGCAAACAGATCCATTGCCTTGTTTCTTTATTGTGTTGTGCGAGAGTGGTGTGGCGGCGGATCATTTGGGGATATTAGGCATTCAGGTGTCTCATTATCTTTGAATGCCGCTGAGGTAAGATCTTGTCTGTCGTTAATTTATAGCATTTGGTTTATAGGCTCAAGTCAACGTGTTTGGTTAATAGAGCACTGTAAGACAGGTCAATTAAGAGGTTGCAGATGAGTCCTGGCTGGGAGATGACCAAACGCGGAGCCCTAGTCCATGGAGCACCCTATGGAGTACCTAAATGGAGTACCCCTAAGAGTCATGTATTGGTCAGATAAAATACTTTATAAACATCGCAAATCGTTTAGTTGTACATATCTTAATGTATTTTGATCTTGCCAGCTGTATGATTGTCACAGTTCGATACAGTCCACCAAGTGACCGCCTTCTTGAATTTAACATTAAACTGACGGAGGTGGGCTTTGGGATTTTCGGTTTTGCTGTTTTGACTGTTTTTTAGATTGGTTTTGGGGCCGAAAAGGTTCGGTTTTTCGGTTATGATGTTCAGAGTGGTTTGCGGATTTTATGTGTTTTTGCATTCGGTTTTCGGTTTTCGGTTTTCACGAAAACTCTGATGCATATGCGGTTGGCGGTATTTCCTTTTTGACCCCTCAAAGTTGAAATTGTAGAGGCTCCAATGCCCCCCTCCTGATAGTCACTTCAAATGGAAGGCTTGAATGTAATCCTTGATCGATTTCGTTAATGGGCCGATTACCATCTTCATCTTATGTTCTTACTGATCGAGACCAAAAGTACGGACATACTTCATTCGGTAGCAGGTTTTATGTCTTTCAGAATATCTGTTTATGTTGGGTGTCCATAAGAGGTGTGGCGTCTAATTTATCAACACAAGGCCTCATGGGTTTCTTCATTGTGTGAAGCGATGGGGATAAAAGATAGCTAGGACTTACAAAAAGTAATTCATGTGTTTAAACTGACCTTCTCTTCACCAATCTATTTGTAGCATAATAAAATTGAAATATTTTAAAAAAACAAAAACAAAAAAAACACCGATGGGTCAGNAATTTGTGACATGAAACAAAACGAAACATGAACAAATGTGAGACCTGAAAATGCCACCCCAATATCATGCTATCAGGCAGTCAGAATCAAGCTGCCTCACTTGAGTTTGAGACAGCCACAAATATTAGCAGGTCACGGTGTTTTTAAAATGTTCAAGTGTTACAGCAGAGCTTTACTAAGAAAAATTGCTAAATTAACACTGCACTGGATACACAAAATCAACTCAACACAAGACCTTGAAAAGTGTCAGTTTTCCTTAACTCAGCTTTTGTTTCCATTGGTATGCATTTATGTACTTTTCATTTCTTTATATTTATACTGTGTGACACTGCTGTTTATTTCCTATATTTCCTATTGAGAGTTTGCACAAGTGATCAAACTGCATATAGGCTTTATTATGTATGTCATGCTAAAGTGGTTATTTATTTTGATTAAGTATGAATATAAGTACCTTCATTGTTTTGTTACATTACAGGTTCGTAAATTGGAGTTTGTCCTGGCTGATGCCTTAGATAAGAAGTGTGACACAGTGATAACGTGTGGTGGTCTCCCTTCCAATCATTGTAGGACTACTGCAGTTGCAGCAAAACAACTTGGTTTGAACTGCTACTTGCTGCTAAGAAGTTCGGACCAGGTATCACTTGAAGTACACCTTTCTTTAACATAATTTGTAGCTCAAACACCACTAGCTCTTACAATGTATCTTTACATACACAAGAACATCATCAATATTTGCATCATTGCCAGCTCTCTGACAGCAGCCACGTGACCTATTCTTTCTTTTTTCCTTGTAGAAGACAGTCAATGTTGGATGTAAAGGCAATCTACTTTTAAGCAGAATGGCTGGAAGTAATATTATTCTTGTTCCGGAGTTGAAATATAAATCTGGCCTAAAGCCAATGATGGAGAAAGTGGCAGAAAAATTGTAGGTGACTGATTTGGTCAAATTATTTTGATAACTTTTGATAAGTACTGTTTTTGAGTCAAAGGTGTGAGACTTTCAGAGAGATTCCAACCATTTTGAACTAATTAAACCAAAAGATTTATGAGAATATTCTAATTAATAGTTACAACACTCTGAAAAGCTTAATATGATGCCCCAAAAGGCCAACTGACAAAGCCTCCCCTCTGCTGACTCCTTTCAATAATGCAAGCCTTGGGAAAGAAGAATCATTTACAAACTACAAAGCTTTAGTTTTCTCTTTTCATTGTTATAGCATTTCATTTGTTCTCAGACATGACAAGTAATATTTGTAATTGTGTACATATGAACCAGTGCTTTATTTTAATCGAGATATTTCATCCACAGGCACAATGCGACTGGTATGCCCAAGGGATTGAGAGTTTTCGTATCCCAACCTTACCCTTAATTACTTTTCATTCCCAGGGAATCATGAATTCCATGAAATTTTCTTTGCATTAACTCTGAAACTCCCAGATGTGATTAACATTTAACTTCTCTCTGTAATATCCACACCTTATCCAGCAAACATAGAATGAAAATATAACTCAGACTTACCGGTAGAAGTTCTTATCTTAATCTAACAATAAATTCTCTTAACTAGTTTAAAAGAAATGTGTAGAAGTGAGAATTAACAATCAGTTCCTGGAAGGTAAGGGGTTCACTGCAGAGTAGATACTCTTCAATTTTTTTTCTCTTGGATCAAATGTTTTCAGACGTCAGCAAGGTTCAGCCCCATACCTGGTTGAGGTTGGAGGATCTTCATATACAGGATTGTTTGGTTACCTCACAGCATTTCAGGAAATGATGGATCAAGTGAGTTCATCATTTAATTCAGACTATGATCCAAATACTTGACAAATCCTCCTTATTCATGGACTTATAAGGTTATGACCTATTGGCCAGCAGCCCTATGTTGAGCCTTAGTTTTTGTCCCGAGAGGATTTTAGTTGTAATGCTGTTTAATTTTAATCAGGCAAATACATAATCATTAGCCTGTTAACTGATCAATATGATACACAAAAGTCTTTGAATTTCCTTAAAATTGTTTTTGTCATTCATATTTCTCAATATTTTACAGAATTTTAAAAGCATGTATCTTCCCCAGGTCTAATCCAAAATTTCATGGTTATAATCCTTTACACCTTGGAAACTGAATAATCAAATGCTTGGGGAGGTCTATAAGCAATGAATCCTTGATTGACATAATGTGGCCCTCAGTAAACTGATTGTATTTTGATTGCTGGAAGTGAACACATTTTCTTTTCCTTTTAAGAATCTACTGGAAGATTTTGATGATATTGTATTGACAGTTGGCAGTGGAGGAACTGCAGCCGGAATTGCCATAGCTAATTATCTGACAGGTTCAAAACTCAAGTGAGCCTTGAATTTTTTATAGTGTAGTTATAAACTTGTAGCTGCTGTAGTATTCATGAGAATCATTTATTTGTTTCAAATAGATCAAATAGGTAATAATACTTAAATAGTTCAAAGATAATAATACTGTCTTCATACTATGTTGTTTAGGAGAGTGTACTCTCGCTATAAACAAGTAAAACATGAAAATGTGTCCTGCATATCATTAGTGCATTGGTTTTTAGCTCCATAATCAAAGAGCACCCAAAGTGGTGCACTAAATTAATTTTGAAATTGATCATTGCAAGCGTGTCATATATATTTTGTAGATGTTAGAAGCTTTATGTTCCTACTCAGTAAGAACAGTGAATATGACAGGGAGGTTGATGATAGTGA